AGGCAAAAATGCTTCAAACCAAGGCCAAGACTGCTGCCRAACCCTGGAGCATCCCTACTTACAGGGTCGGACTTAGATGCCGCTTGTGCCAGCTGTCCACAAGGGACGCGTGGGGACTTGTGCTCATGAACCATCCGTGCCCAGTTTTATTTCCTATGTTATTATTTAAATATGACTGCTTTTATTTATGCCAGTCCCMGTGGTCTGCTTAGAACTTCCTAATGGTCCTCATCCTTAAGCTGCAAACTTCTAATATGTTTCKTTTTGTTGCTGTCCTGAAGTTCTCCTTGGTGAAAACAGATCCCYTCACTCCAGGTGGTTTCTTCCTCAATGCACTTTGGCCTCAAGGCAGTCTCCTTTCAGTAAATTTTAATGTAGAAACTACAACAATTCTAATAGGTTTTCAATAGGCAGCCCATGGTAGCAATCTTAAGGTTTTTTTGCTTTAGTTCTGCATTTAGCACTTTTAGGGAACTAAGGTATATTTAGTACTATTTGTCTCAGCAACTCAGAACATGAATGTCACTGTCACTTTTATCATAACCTCATAACTGCAATAAGCTACTTTGTAAAGGTACAGATGRAATTTTCAGAGTTGGGATGTCTCGTTTTGAATGATACAGAATTTTAARCATAAATGTCACCTTAATTGTTCATCTTCTTTTCAGATGCCAGCTTGCYGTTGTTAGTATTTGCTATTTCCAAGAAAGGGAAGACATAATTTCATATTTAAGTTGCACAGATGCAAGTATTTATTTAGACAATGATGAGAAACGCCAAATATGGGAATAGTTACCTCTGTTTTACTGCCAAAGAGTGATGATGATTTWTCTTCACAAAGACAAGAAAAGGCAGAAAAGAAAAGTGCAGCTGCAACATATTTGCTAGAAGTGAGACAAGAGTGTTATTTGCTAAACAGTACATGCTGGGAATAAAAATCAAGGTTTCAGTAATACCTCTAGCCAGTCTCTGATAAAATATTCTAAATGTKTTGACAACATATTTCCCCAAGGCTGAAGAAATATATATGTATACATTATTTATTGTGCCCAACAGCAGGTCCTCACCAATCTTAGACTGGTTTCTAAGAAAAAAGATGRAAAGGAAAGAAAAGAAAACAAATTACCACAGACATAAAAACAACAGTTAAAGGAGATAAACTGTCTCAAGCAAGGAAGGATGAAAAAAGGGATGACAAAAAAAGGAAAATGAGCAAGAAAAAATTCTGTTTATTTATTGCATTGCATACTCATGTTACCTTCCYGTCACGTATCCAAAACTGAGTGGGTCAAGAACAGGAATGTGGCAGTGCCTCCAACCTTTTAAGCTAAGATGAGCATGAGCAGGGCTATTGTTTTCTAGAGGCAGCTGTGTGAGGGGAAGTGTTATCCTGCTGGGCTGTCAGCGTTTTCTCCTCCACTGCTGAAGCTCTCCTTCCTTGACCCATTTCAGTCAGGATCCTCCAAGCTAGCTCAGACCTGCTGTCGGCAAACATTAAGTTCCCCTGGGAGGGGTGGAAGATCCAGGATTCAGTGCAAGGCTTTTCAACACAAACACTTTGATAGATACAGTCTGGCCCCACTAAATCAACATGTAAATTGGGAAATTCTATCTCCTTGGCTACCCCTTGATGACCTGTTTTACCTTATGTTACTAACACGGGGATAAAGAATTGATACCAATACCCACTCTTATATTATACACTTGGTATCAATGACAAATGTTGAAGAAGCTATGTGATTAGGACTGTGTCTGGAGGAGGGGGAAAAAATCAAACAAAGAAGTAACTACTTTGGGAGAGGAAAAAAAAAACCAAAGTAAAAAGTTCTCTTGCTTTTTTTTTTTTTTTTTTTTTTTTTTTTTTTTTTTTTTTTTTTTTTTTTTTTTTTTTTTTTTTTTTAAATCTGAAATTTTTTATATAATAGCAACAAAATACCAAAGGTGAGATTTGAGTACATTATCACATGTTAACAAAATAGTTTAACTTTGGTAAGTGCAGAAAGAATGAGAGATAAAGAACTTAGCACAGAATTGGAGGTACACAGAAACATTAAAAGGCTTTTATTCATAGAGGGCCAAAATTACTCAAAGGACAGGGTTTTACCAAGCTCAGCCAGAAGATGATTTGATAATATTTATTGAAGCTTAATGGAAGGTGAAAAGGCAATTTCGTGGGGAGAGAACAAATGTCAACTTGTTACTCTCGACACCTAATTGGACATTTATTTCACTTATGTATGCTGTCTGGAACAACATGTTAGACTTTAATAGGATCGCTGAAGGCAAAAGTGGGCTGTACCCTTGGAAAGATGGAGTCCTACTTTCATGTATCATTGTTTTAAGTACCTAGAATAGATGTTGTCTCAGGRAATGATGGATTCCCTCTGCTTTCCCAGACACTGGGCACGTGAAACCCTCTAAAGCCCTCAAGGAAAGCACCTCACCAGATTCAGCCCAGCTCTGGAAACTGGAAGGTATTTTAGGTGTCCTTGCAAAAAACTTTCAAGGAACATATTTTAAAGAGGTGTCAGTTGCTTTGTCTTGCCAGGGTGCCACATCTTCTCTGTAATACTACACAAATCTCTTTCTATAATATACATAAATTGACTTAAATTGCTTTGTTGCTACAAAGGTAAGGTTACAACAGCAAATACAAAGAATGGTAATGTATCGCCTTTGAGAAGAAATCCTTCTTAGATTAACTTCTAATGAACTGTAAGAGATTTTAAGATACAGAACAAAAGACAAGGTTCAGTCCTTCTTTTGGGTTGGAATGGGTAGGAGTACACACAAATGATCCTGCATTTATCCACTGAGAATATTTAGAAAGTGACATTCCTGAAATGTATTGAAAAGTTGTCAAGAAGAATGACTGATTTAATGAACTGTGTTAACACATTTGCAGGAAGCACCAGATTATAATTTGCTCTGCCTTAGTGATATTTTAAGCAACTGAAAAWTTGCTTTTACTGGGAGTATTAAACTGTACAACTTTATCTGCTTTTGTGATAAGAATCTATTTTGAACAAAATTTTCTAAGTTCTTAACTCCTTAGCTGCACTTCAGGCACCATTTTAAAAAAAAATTCAGCCAATAAGGAAACATTCTCCTCTCTCCAAGTTCTAACTTAGTGTTCTAATTTATTTAGACGTGTCCTTGTAATTTCTAAAGATCTTTGTCTTCCTAATTTTTACTTAACTGAGGAGGACATRGGACCTGAATTATCACCTGGTGGGATAACTCATCTGAAGCTCAAGGCTCACCCACATTCTGGATGGTTAAACAGGATTTTTATTTTGTGATTTTATTGCTTTTATTGYGATTGGACACAATAAAGCAACTAACAAAGTATAGGAAAATAATTGACTGAACAGGAAAACACTTTCAGCTTGMTAATGGTCAAAGAGCTGCCGAATTGGATTTCATCCTTATCATTGCTTGCTCTGTTATCTTAGTCAAATCAAATGGGGGGGTGGAAGGGAAAGGAGCAACTGAACGCTCACACCCTGCTGCGTTTCTGACCACAGGAGGCTCTCTGCCTATGCTCAGCTTGTGTCGGGCRCAGCTGAGCCCAGCCCCTCAGTTCCGTGCTTACTCACGTATGGGCCAGTGCAGAGCCGTGCGTATTGGAAAGCCTGTCTTCAAAAACAGGAGATGCTAACAGAACAGARGATTTCATTAAAACCAAGACATTCCGTGAGTCAAGTATGAAAGTCTCAGTTGCTATTGTATGAAAATGTCAGTTGGATTTGTGTTTCAGCAGTCCATACGACTGTCAGTTGAGGGTTTGGAGATTTTTTTTCCATAGCTGTGATGTGTCTTAAAAGCAGATTTTTAAGTCTGTGTACTGTGGGATCATCCTGCAGYCTCTCTTACTACTGGACCACACAAACAGTTCTTCCCTGTCTGGTCCATACTTAAATGAAGCTTGCTATACTGTTGCTATGTGCAAAATCTCCCCTCCTTCAGACGTCGTGGTCTASGGTTTTCATACACCGGGGACCAACGGTTTTCATTTCCTCTCCTCTAGCTCACCTGGCTTCTGTCTCATGTTGAAATACAAGGGACACTGAGGAGCAGGTATTTCTCGTTTTTAGTCCTTACTGTCCGGCCTGTTGCTATACCAAGAGGTGTAATCTTCTACTAGCATCTTATCTGTAATTCACAATTCAAGCAGTTTTCAATCCACTTGGAGGCAAGAATAGGAATTAAAGAATTGAGAAAACTAGTGAGTCCCAGAAATGGGCTTGTAGCTAAGAGTCTAGGGAACCTACAAGAAAAACAGGTAATTCAAAGCAGCAGTTTGTTGGTTTTAGCTTTAGTTTTACTGAAGGAATTACACATGGAACACTGAGTAAGTTCAAAATAAGGGTATGTAAATATTAATAAAAGAGAAAATATAGATGATGGAATTCGCATTAACTTAATATGAAGGAGAATCTGCAAGCTTGGGGACACAGAGAAGTGCTTCAGCACTGACCGCGTTGCTGGGGATAGACGTTAAAAGAGCGGCCACTACCAACTCTCCAAACAGCAGCCAGGACCCTGCCGGCCGGAGTCCTTCTGCACAGACGTTCTGCAGGCTTCCGAAGCAGCCGATGCGGCCGCAGGGCTGTGCCGGAGCCGGCAAACCGAGAGGCTCGTACCCCGCTCCTGCCGGGGCAGCTCAGCCTGCGGGCGCCTCTGCTCCRGCCGCGGCCACCGGCGCGCAGCTTCCTGGGTGCGACCTGTGTACGTATGTGCAKATACACATATATACATATATAGATATATCCATGGGGTTCCCAGAGCGCCCCTCGCTTGGGGCGGCCGCGAAGGAGAAACCAGAGGAGGAACCGGCACCCCGGACTGCGGGGAAGGGGCGCATCCCCACCTGCAGCTCAGAGGACAGGAGGGAGGCGGAGCTGTTCCCATCCCGTCGCCTGTCGCCTTCGGAAAGCAGCCGTGGGTGGGAGCGGGCGATGGGTACGGGTGGGAGGGGAGCGGCCGCCACCCCCGCTCGCCGCTCTGCCCGCGGGCTGGGGGCGATGGAGCCGTGCCCGCCCGCGGCCACCAGGGATGCGCCGTGGGCGAGCGCTGCTGCCCCGGGGGAAGTTGGAAGCTGAGCCCCGCGGGTCGCTCGGCCGGCTGCGAGGGGGCGGGCGGCGCCCGGCGCCCGAGGAGGAGCCCGAGCATCCCGGCGCCGGGGAAAGCCGGAGAACGGGCGGCGGGGCTTCATGGGCTGCTCACGCCAACATGGTGCTCGCCCTCAACGGCAGCCACCTCTACGATAACCTCCGGCCCCTGGTCCTGGAGGAGCCGCGGGCGCTGAGCGGCGGCAGGATGATCGCCGGCTCCTGGCCCCCGCGCAGCCTGGCGAAGCTCGGCCCGTCGCTCCCCCCGTCGGCGCTGCCCACGGCGAGCCCCCTCCCCGCCAACGACTCCCAGTGCGGGGAGCAGATCCTCAGCTACGGCAACGCGGAGAAAGTTCTCATCGGGGCCGTGCTCTGCCTYATCACCCTGCTGACCATCGCCGGCAACTGCCTGGTGGTGATCTCCGTCTGCTTCGTGAAGAAGCTGCGGCAGCCCTCCAACTATCTCATCGTCTCGCTGGCCCTGGCCGATCTCTCGGTGGCCCTGGCCGTCATGCCCTTCGTCAGCGTCACTGACCTTATCGGCGGCGAGTGGATCTTCGGGCGCCTCTTCTGCAACGTCTTCATCGCCATGGATGTCATGTGCTGCACGGCCTCCATCATGACCCTCTGCGTGATAAGTATCGACAGGTGAGAGAGCCCGGCGCCCCGAGGCTTGCCCTGGCCTCCCGCMGCTCCGGGGGACCGGCCCGCGCCGCTGCCCGCAGCCCCGGGCACCCAGGACGGCCGCCGGCCCCGGCGCGGGGGACCCGCCGTGAGCGGTCCCAGCAGCGGGCTCCTGCCTTCTCCGGGTCCCTTGGAAATGAGCCGTGCTCAGAGCAGGGAGTGAGGCGAGTGCCAGCCCTCAGCCTCTCTGCTCGAAGGAACCCGCCGGAGCAGGGTGAGCTGCCGCCCATATGCCAGCCCAGGTGCCTGGTTATCCCTCTTGRTAACTTCCTTGGTGTCACTCGAGAGCCAAAGGTGTCAAAGCAAAACTGGACCTAAGCTGTCAACGTTTATCTTGGCTCTATGAAAGTTATAGGGCGTTTCCAGCTGCTCTAAATTTTGGAACATATGTCTTTAAACTGCTTTATACCACAGATAGATTTGATCTAATTCTTCCAGAGCTGGTGACAGTGTAACCTCACTGGGTTCAGGGGAGTTTTTCCAGACCAGAAAAGGTGAAGAAATTATAGCTTATTAAGGTTTTATCTTCATTCTAGAACAATCCCAGAATAGCTCAATTTAATTTTTGACAAATAATGTTTTATTTGAAGAAAAAATGCTTTCAAATATTTGCTTTTCAAAAATTTTCACCTGCTGTCTTAAAAACCAAGTTATGCTCATTGACATTAAGCTTTTTCCAAAAGATACAGTCACTGGGGCAACAAAGAAGTGTGTACAGTTCTGATGTAAAAACCATACCTAAGAGCCCACATTTGCCTCTGTCAGAGTTCTCCTCTGCAGAGGAAGGCTAACAGATTTCTTTATTCCATGCAGGTCCTCTTCTAAAGTAAGTTGCACCCTGTAGCTTCCCTCTTTCACAGCCTAAATTCTGCACCAAGGATTTTAGCAGCAAGAGGATAACTTTTTTGTTATAACTCCACACAATTGGCAAAAATGGAAGAACTTCATAATTAGATTAGAAATAGTTTATCAAGTCTGATATCCAGTAGCAATCTTGACTGTCTACTTCAGACAGTTTTCCAAAAAAGCTCTGCCTTAGGTCTCTGCAAAGAAAGAGACTTTCAAAAGAGCTTCGTATAGTACATAGAGGTCGTTTCATACCAAGGAGCATCACAGTTTTTATTAATTTCACAACTTTAATTTCTGTACAAGCACCTTCTTCTGCAATGCTCTTTATTTGCTGACTTCTATATTGGCCGGTAATWATCTGAATGCTGCAAAGCATCTTGTAGCAATGAAATCCACATACAGACTTTGCCAGTATCAARGGTTTGGTGATTTTGGTGGATTTAAATTTTTTTTTTAATTGCTGATACATTGAAATTTGCTTAATTTAAACTTAATTTAACTAAGTTAATTTTTTAACTTAAGCTCTGTATTGTAAGAAAATGTGAATAGGCTTTTCTAACTTCCCTTCTCWGTTTTTCTATACTATTTGTAAGATAGGTGATTTCCTTTTTCCACTCTTTCCATAAAATATTTCTATTCTTTRATTATTCTTATGTCCACCTCTGAGTTCTCCACCTCCATTTCTACTAACCTTTCTAAGCCAGGTTAACATAATTAAGTTTCTTAAGGATGGGGAATGATTCACACAATAGCACTGGAGTTTTACTTTTCCATTTCTTAGGTCACTGCTGGGTGCTGAATAGGGGCTTTGACTGAACTGTTTGCACTCATGATTGTATCTCCTGTCTTCTTTCAGTTCTCCCTCCACTCCCCTCTCACCCTAAAGTACTAACAAGAGATTTATCTTTGTATTGAGAAAGAATATAATCTCTTGTAAATGACTAATTTTCACCAGCTAGTGCTGATTTAAACTAGAATTATTCTCGTCTTTGCGTTCTCACTTCTATCACTGAACATTTATCCATCTCTTTAACCATCTCTTCATAATTCATTATATTGCTGACTATGCCCTACTTGAAATTAAAATTCTGTAACTTACGATGCTTTACCTGCAACTTAAATCCATTAGGTATTTAAGATAGTAGGTATCATAAATGAAAGGAGACAAGCAAGCAATTCATTAACAAAATATTTCTACTACTTGGCAAATAAAGAATTAAAAAATCTCCATGATTTGTAATTCTATTTAAAAGTAAATAATCTTATACTGTTGTAACACTGCTATGCCAGGCCAAAGATTAGTTTGAGATGTTGAATAATCTTTGTATGGTGCACATGTACAAAATATGCAAACCATTATGAAAAACAAATGTGAATGATTGAATGTTGCCAGTGTAGTGTTGATTGCAATGGTGCTGTCTTATTAGCAGTTATTCTTACATGTTTGTAGTTAGGAAATCTGAATGATCAGTGAGGAAAAATTATCTCTGAAAAAACACATACCTGCAGATTAAATATTGTTGGTAGTACAGGAGCTGCAAATCACAATGTGTACAGCATTTTAGAGGATCAGATTATTTCCACAAAGTCCATTTTTCCGAGGTTTTGGTAGAAACACTTCCATGTTTCCTGTTATGTAGGAAGAGAAGATTACCAATGATACCTCCCTTACTAGGCTTACTATCTCAGGGCAATTAAAGCCAATACAAATTCAGGACCAGAAAATTTCAATTGAGGAATTCCAGAAGCAGGGAAAGTGAATGAAATTCACCACCCTTCAAGCTGGCTACAGAGGCATTTAGATGTACTTAAATCTTGTAGATCCTGGGGTCACATGGGAAGCATTTGTCTAGGAAGAAGGGTTAAGACAGGACAAAGAAATACATTTGAAATATAATTAGGAATTGCACTGTTGTCTGGCTCTTTAGGACACTTTAGGAAACCTTTGTTGAGATTCAGTAACATCTCTCCTGAAGTAAAAGTTGAGGCTGTTGCAGGTTGTGCAGAGACACCAATTAAGTTGACTATTTTAAAATGATATTGTTAAATCTCTGTGTTCTTCCTAAAGCAGATATAAGAATCAGGTAAATAGTTAAAAGTGTATTGCTACTGAATTAATCTAAAAAAAAAAAGGTTTGTTACAAACTGTTAGGCAGTCTTTGTAAGGAGAAATAGTACCTTTGATTAAACAAGCAATTAAGTTAGTAAAACAGAGGCTTTGAGGAGCTCCCAAGCAGAATTTTTAAAAGAGTAAATTGAAAAAGCTTTTTGATTTGTTTCTCTTGGACAAATATGKGCTATTCAGCCTATGCCACTGAGAATCCCAAAATGCCAGAAGCTGGCAAGCCTATTGCTCACAGAGAGATTTTGCTGCACAGCCCTTAGTGGAGGATGCATTTTTTAGCTGAATCTATCAGTAGAAAAGCTCTSAAAGATGCATATTAGCATGAGGTATACAAATAGACTGTTTCATTCTGTTGGGAAGCCTCATATTTTTTTCCTAGTTAGATACATCAAGCATTTCTTGTAGTTTTTAAATTGCTTCTGTTCTAAGTTATGCAAATGATAAGGGTTCAAAGTAGATATTAGTGTGCATTATGGGGCTATCTAACTTTTCACAGGGTGCACAAGGAAGAAGCTAGGTTGGAAAGGCCATTTGATTATTCACAAAGATCTAAATTAGTGGAGATYGTGAGGTAATGTAATTGAAGTTGCCAAGTTTTTGAGTACTATACTTTTCTTCAGATCATATATTCCCTTTTGTTTCACAACCTAAAAATTTTCACAGATCTTTATCAGGGTGACCTGAGATGAACATGTTATTTTTTAGGCATCCCTGTCTCATTTAAGCCCCCACTTTGGAAGATTATCTGCTTACAGGCAGGACTGTCAGAACTAAATCAGATATGAGGGACAGACAAGAGTATTTCTGCCTTTTCAAGTTTCATAAGGATTAAACAGGCAAGACAGCTTGTTACTTAGTCACTATTACCTTTGCTATTCTCTCCATCAATGATATGAGGAGTAGCTCCGTGGAAAGGTAGCAGCTACACAGACTTTTGCAGGATAATTGGGCCTCAGTGAAGAGCATTTCCTGTTAGTGTATTTGTTTTTTCTTTTGCACTTAAGCCTCCACTTTTCTGGTTCTGAATAGAATCAATTGGATCACATTCAAATTCCTTTACATTCTTTGCATTTAAGAGTGAGAAAACATTAGGAGTGAATTTTAAGGGATGGATACAAATCATATCTTAGTGGGAAATGAACAAATAAAGGGAATTAATTGTATTTGAACTGGTGGTGTTTGCATGCTGATTCATCATGTTGTTCTGACCCAAGATAGCTACAGAAATGCTGTTTTGGAGAATATCCACAGAATAACTGCACAAGTAGCAATTTTTAATTCAATTTAAAAATAGTTCTTTGGCTTAGAAAGTGATAAAGTAACATAACTACTCAGATACAGTTGACGAATTATAACACTTTATCCACACCCACACAAGTAATGAAACACTTTTTTGGGAACTTTTCCAGTCTGTATCTTGGCCAACAATTCATGAGTATTCCAGTCTTCCATTAAATTGATGAGGTTGTAGAATGTGTATGGAGATAAGTGGGCCTTTTTGTTGATCCTGAGATTTTTATACACAAGGATCATCTCTCTCTATCTCTCTGTTTTGCCACACTCCAAGTATGACTACTTACGCTTCTCCTTATAGYGTGTCATTCCCTTAAAGTTCATTCATTTCTTGAGTCCTCCTCCCATGCCTGGGAATTGAGCAGACCTCAAATTGCCTCAAAGGTGGAACTAAATTTAAATAAAGACTTGAGCACTTCCAACAGAATCCCAGTGTCTAAGTTCTACCTACATCCCAAACTGATAATATGACCTGAAAACTCTGTCARTAATTTGCTAAACCTACAGCTACCTAGTAGCCCTCTGTGTCTTCRTATTACATATGAAAACCTTCTCTGCCTGAATGCCATGGGTAGAAAAGGCTGCAATCTGTTCTACCAACCATGCTCAGATCATTCACAAAATCCATGCAGAATATATATGCATAAATAGCTGTGAAAAAAAATCCTCTATGTATTATATTTTGGATCTGGAATAA